CGCAGAGCAATGACGCCTGCGCCGGGGTCCGGGGCGCGCACCCTGTGGAGGGCCTGCAACTGGCTCATGGCCGCCTTCTTCGCCCTGGCGGCCCTCGTGCAGGTCAGGCTGGCGCTGGGCGGCGGGGAACGGGACCTGTCGGGCTCCGCGCTCCGCCCCCAGGCCCAGCCTGCAGTAGTGACCGACCAGTCCGCAGAATGGCAGGACTGGTCAGTTTGTGGGGAGGACAGGAACTGAGATCGAAGCTTGGAGAACCCCAGGGTCTCCCCACCAAAGACGCGGATGTGTTCACATGTGCAAGCCACACACCAGAGAGCCTGACTGGTTCAAATGCTGGAAGGAGCAGGGTCAGCGCCTGTCACTTTGAAAGGGACCTCGGGGAAGCTGCACTAGTGCTATTCGAGACATTCTTGGTAGGGGAGCCTGAACAGATCCAAGGGCTGGGAAGAGGAAGCAGAATAAAACTCCTTACAGCCTCAGGAAATCTGCTTTCGGATCCCCTTTATGAAAGGAATAGTTTGCCTCATTTCTTGAGACTGGAGGGTCCTTAAAAAATACCCATTCTAGGTTCCCGTGCAGTTTCTTTTTAAAACCTGCTGTGTTCAGCCAGAAACCCCTTCAGCCATCCTGATCAGCTAGACTAACACATGAATAAAGGAGCAGACCAAACAGGAATAGACAGGGCGGTATATCTGCTAACGTGTCCTTGTTTTGCATTCTAGGTCAATGATCCAGACGCAGAACTGTGGGTGGTGAGTCTGAGCCGCTTTCAAAATTTTCCTCCATTCAACAGGATTGTGTGGCTGCACAAAACACGCGCTCTTATCTCTTTGTCTCTCCTGTCTGCTTCACTTACTTAAAAACTTAGAAATCAAAACCTTTGTCAAGCTCTTTCCCCCACGTATTTTTAGAGGGGGGAGAATCAGTGTGATAAGGTGTGGTGTGGTGGTGGGCGGGGCGGGGTTAGGGGTGGAGAATTCCGGACTCTGAGGACAGAGGTCTTTTCCACATCACCTTAATTATACTAGACTGAATAACAGTGTGACTAGGTATCATTTGCCAAGTACCTACAGTTTTCTAGTCACTTTCCATGTATTATTGCTAACCTTTATGACAACCATCTAGAGGGTGTGTGTAGATTATAGGCAAACACCTGAGTTTCCACAGATGTTTAGTATCCTGGGGCTGAGGGTAGGGTTGGTCCTAAAACCAATTTTCATGGATACCAAGGGACAACTGTATTCCTTTTGAATAGATGGCCTGACTACTGGGTCTAGGGCCTAGAGGAGACCTCTCGGCATCCATTACACTGACTGTTCCTTGTGAATTACCATCCAGAAAACTCTAGCAAGCATTGGAATGGGGAATGGTAGGCTTTAGTTCTGTGGTTCTGTTAACTGAGTGAATTATTTTATAGAAACTAATTAAACTCCACAAAACCTATAGCATTCATTTAACCAGTGCTCCTGAATTGGGAGGAGAGAGAGATCATCTACTACATTTCCTGAAACATCTGAATTTTGCCCAGTGTCTTTGAATATAGAAGCACAAAGCTGTAGAGCATCACGGGGGAAATGATTTTTAGATTTTGGAATAATGTTGACTGTGTACAGAATGAGCAGCCAACGAGAGCTCTGGGAACTATATGTAAAATTCTAGTCCTTTTTTAGTACAGTAGAGAACCACCTTCTCATATTGCCTGTAATCCAATTTCATGTTCCCCTGAATCAAATCAGATTGTCTCTTCCTTAGCACTTTGGTTCATATCCTAGGTTCCAAATATTATTTCCCTGCAGACAAATGTCAGATTTCAAACTTAATGTTGAATTTCTGAAAGATTGCAAAATATATCTGCCTGTATATCATACTACTCCTCAAATATGCCGAAGCTCCTACCCATATCTTTCTCCCCAAAACTCATTCCTCCTCCTGACTTAGCCATGTCTGTTAGCAGAATCATTCACTGAGTCATCCTTGACATCTCTGTGTTCCTTACCCACTATCTTTGAAATCCCCTCAACAAAAAAAAAAATAAAAAGCAGTTTAATGAAAAATAATCTAGGTCCAATTGCTTACCTGTGTAGTGCCTGTACATTTTATCTTTCACTTCAAGTTTAGGATACATAATATGAAAAACAAATTTCATGTCCCCAAAAATCTCCCTCATTCCCAATTCAGTCCTCCATTACTTCTTCTGTAGGTATTTTATTTATTTATTTATTTATTTATTTATTTATTTATTTATTTATTTATTTATTTATTTTTGGCAGTACCTGGGATTGAATTTAGGGTCTTGCACATGCTAAGCAAGTGTTCTACCACTGAGCTATATCCCCAGCCCCATTACTTCCTCTATGGACCCCTGGATTGACTTCCCAACTCTTCTCTTTACTTCTAATCTTCTATTCCTAGAATATCTCCTATATGTCACTGTCTGCTCCAAAAACTTTTGTCATTTCTCCATCTAAGTCAAAACTCCCCAATTTGGATTTGAGGTCCATCATAGTATGGCTCAGCCCACCTTCTAATCATGGTCCAGCAAGCATGATTACTGTATCTTGACCCTAGAATTTCTGTATGTCATATTCTACCCAAGCTTCAAGGACTGTCTGTCCTCCAAATGCTATTTCATCTGACAAAATCTGCCACCTTCCCAAAAGTTCTGACCATTCTTCCTTTGCACCCTATTAAGGCACCAACACATTCAGTTTTGCATTACAGTTGGTTTAAACACATTCAGTTTTGCATTACAGTTGGTTTTGTGTATCCCAGGAGGACAAGGGCAGTTCTTTCCTCTCCTTGGGACCCTTTAGGCAACCTAAAGAGCCTCCATTATAGAAATTCTTTCTGCATTGATTGACCCTTAAATGGATGGGAGAATAAGTAGATGCACAGATGAACAATTACTAGGTCATTGTACCTGGCAGGCTGGTACTGCATCCAACTCATTTGCTCGTTCCCTAGGATGGAAAATCTGATTAGAATATCTCGCTTAAGAAGTCCGGAGGTAGCTGATCAACAGTGTCATCAAAGGTCTGAGTTTTCTTCCATCCTCATGTTTAGAGAATGGCTGCTGCAACTCTGCAAACATCTCATCTCCAGAAAAGTATATCCCAAGTAGGAAGAAGCAAAGCAGAGCCAAATAAGCTTTCTTCCTGTGCTTTCGTCACTTTTATGAGAGAGAAAAATGTTTTCCAACAAGTCCCTTAGACAGTTTGTACATATCAGTATTGCATATTGTCAGGGCTCCATTCTGATTGGGCAGCATCCATACATACTGGTTGCTAAATGCTTTTTGTATATTATTAGCCTTACCCCTGGAAGATGTCTCCTTATATTTCATTGCTGGAACATGACCACTCAGAGCTGTAAAAGAGACTGGGAAAATGGTTTTTGTAGGGACAGGTGGACAAAGGAGAGTGGTATTAGGAATGACTGCCATGGTACTAATTGTGTGTTGAATTAAACTAATTATTGCAAATGAATAACATGATACCCTTCATTATTTTTCTTAATTCCAGCAAAAATATAAAAGACCATTTCAAGTGGGTTCTACTGAGTTCATGATTACTTTTATTATGCAGTTTTAACTTGTGTACTGGAAACAGTTATTTTCAGTCTCTCTGCTCTCCATAATTTTTTATCTAATTCAAGACAGAAAAAAGCATCTAAATAAGGATTAATGTGTCACAACTGCCACGACAAACTGTTATTTAAAGGACTGTTTTGTTCCTATGTTTCCATACACTGAAATAAGGTTTTAGCCTGCTTAATCTATTTATGACAGATCTCCAATGAATTGAATGAATATTTTAAAAATCTCTGCCAAACATGATGTTCGTGTTTCTTTCTCTCCCTATGTCTCTCTTTTTTAAATTTCTGTATCTGTAGCTATCATGTAATTTTCCATGGGAGAAAACTAACCCCCTTACTTCTCTAAGTGTGGTCCTTGGCAAAACAGCAGTAGCACCCATGGGACCTTGTTAGAGTAGCAGGATCCTGGGCCCTCCTCCAAACCTGCAGAATTAGAATCTATAATTTTAAGAAGATCTCCAGATGATTCCTATGCACATTAAAGTTTGGACAGTGCTGTTCTAACCTTAAGTAGCATGATCCTCCACCTTAAGAGATTACCTGATTTGCAAATATCACTATTAGGAAAGATGAACACAGGGTCTGTAATCCAAATGTTCTCTCTGCCCAAGCACAAGACAGACACTTTTATAATGAAAACAAATCACGTAAAATGTACAGCTCTCACAACTTCCAAATAAACTAAAGGTTTGACATAAGCATTGCAGTTGATGTGGGTAAGCAACTACATTTCTAGGAAAGTTCCCATGCTTCTTATAAGACTACCTTTCCTACTTTTTCTCTGTCCACAACACAAATACACGGTAGAAAGTTTGGCCACAGTCTGCTTGCTACAAATGAAGCTTGGGAACAGGGCTTCTTTAGGGCCAGTCTTCTAATTTCCAAACAATTACCTGTTTCCAAAAGAACCTGATCTTAATGTTGGATACAATCCATAAATTTTTAGAATATTTGATGTGGTCTCACAGAGATGGTCTATTGGTTCATCCCAGCAGGGCCATCTAGCTAATCATGGCTGTCCCTGCTCTACTTTTCAAAGAACGTTTCTTTTATACAAGTGGGGAAGGTCATTTGTGCCAGGTTTCTGTTCGAGACTGAAAGGCTCAGGGGTCACTCCAGGAAAATTGGATTAACTGGGCTGTGCAAAATAACCACACAAGAGACACAAATACCTTTTTCTTTGGGGTCGCTGTGACGGCTCCTCTGACCTTAAGGGTCCGCAGGAAGAGAGAGAGAGCACACACGCACTGACCCCTTTTATAGAGGAGAAGCTATTCAAATGAGGCAAGGGGTCAGGTTTCAGGGGCTGAGTCTATCTTCATGATGTCCACTGTCAGCAGGTTGACTGACACCTGGGTAGGCCACACCCAAGGGCACAGTAAGAGAAGGGGACACACACACAAGGCACTTCCATGGAAGATTCTACCCTAAACAGGGCAAGGGGTTATAATACAAAGGAACAGGTGAGCATAGCTCCACCCATGGGGCTATAGGAAGACATGCCCAGGCACGAAGACAGTCACTCAAACCCTAGAAGAGCAGGGCAATGTAGCAGCATGGGTGCCTGACACCACATCGCCCAGCAGGAGAGTTAACTCAGTCACTTGTGTGCGAGGTTGAGGTTGGTCTCCCACACATTTGGGCCTCAGATTTTCTTAGAAGATACTGGGGAGTCCACGTGTCTTAAGATCCAGATTTTATGCTCAGTGATAGAACTTGAAGATGAATGAGCCTTTCCTGAAAGAGCTGAGGGTAAAATTATAACCCAACACGGTCATCAGGTTATACAAGCAATTCATTCTGAAACCTAGAGGTGAATAACGGCTGATTTCATCTTTGTTTTTATTCCTAGATACATCTGAACATCTCATATGCTGGGCATACATCTTAACCCATATATCTCCTCTTTTTTGCTAACAGGTGGTATATGCTGTACCTGCAGTACTGACCCTGCTTGTAGGAGTTAACCCTCTTGTCACAGGTATGACCGCTGTATTCTGAATAGAGATTCAGCAAATCAGATTTTCTTGTAACAGTGCTAAACTACCTGCTAATCTCCCAGGAAAAGCACAGGACTCTCTAGGGATTTCTTCTCATTTCTGATAACAAGAAGGGGCTAATGCTAATCTAGATCATCCTTACCAGTCTTAGGAAAGCTTCACAAGGACTTGAAATAATAAGCTATTCTTTATCAATTTGAACCCAAGACTTCTCATGCTGACATAGAATAGTGGTTATGTCGTTTAGCCCATAAGAGAGAAGAATTGCAATCACTGCATTGATTTCTTAAGCCACCAAACTAATATAAAACCAGCACAGACATAAATGCTTATCCTGTGTTCTCATACTCAGTGGCAATCAATGCCTACTATATGTTTATTATTTATAACCCTTTGTGAACTCATTTTCCTTACAAGTTCTTTGTAGGGTAATATCACTCCCATGAATTATTTTCTTACTTTGAATTTATTTAAAATCTATATGTATGAGGTGCCGCTTATGAATAAATTGTTTATAATGTGTATCATAAATCTCTATGTATATCATTTCTAATCTCCTTAAATATCATCATAATACCTGTAGCAATGTATTATACATTTTTATATTTCATATACCAAACTTCTTAAAAGTAGGTTTATATCATATGCTTTTGCATAAACCTAAATGTATACAAGTCTTAATCCTTTCAGGTTGCTATACCAAAAGTATCAAAGACTAGGCAGTTTATAAGCAATAGAAATTTATTTTCCCAGTTCCGGAGGCTGGAAAGTCTAAGATTAAAGCACCAGCAGATTTGGTGTCTGATGAGAGTCCTCCCTCCATGGTAGAAGAGACAAAGAAAACTTCTAAGATCTGTTTTTATAAGGGCACAAATCCCAGTCATGAGAGCTGTACCTTTATGAACTGATTACTTCCCAAACGCCCATCTCCTAATACTACCACCTTAAAGGTTAGGGTTCCAACATATGAATTTGAGGGAGACACAAGTATTCAGTCTTTAATTATATGGCCAGGCATACAGAAGGTACTCAATGGTTGCTGAATGAAAGAATGACTGTAAAGCAGAGCTTTGTCATATATTTATTCTGGAACCAGCTTCTTAAAATTCTCTCTCTCTCTTTCTCTCTCTCTCTATATATATATATAGATAGATAGATAGATAGATAGATAGATAGATATGGGTATATCCCGGGGGTGTATATATGTAAAAAATGAACTTAAAATAACTGGTTTATTTTAATAACTGGTTTGTATTGCCTATAGACTACCTAACTCGATGCAACAGTATCTTATAATGAAAAAAAAATGTGTGTGCGTGTTTTTTTTTTATTCTTTACTTTCTCTACAACAGCTTCTAACTAGTAGGGCTCAGATACTTTTAGAATAAAGACTAATGATTGCCATGTTGAAAAAGTCTAACTCCTTGGAAGCTCTGGGCTCCTCCTATAGGCCCTTAGATCTGTGTCTGCATCTTTAAGGTGAATTGGTTAGGGCTCCTTTAGTGATAAGCCAGAAGGAACAGAACTCTCAAGTGTTGTGACCCAAGAAGAAACATACTGGTATAGTTTGCTGGAAAGGCTGCAGATGGTGGTGGACCCAGAACTCCTCTCCATCTCCCTTTCCACCACCTGCAGATCTGACCTTACCCCTGGGCTCCACTTGGTAGCTCTGCAGCTCCCGGTTCACTGCATCAGGACACTAAGTCCAACAGAATGGATGTTCTGTTTCTGCACCCTACGAACATCTCAGAATTTTGTTATTAACCCTGATGCATCATCTGTTTATCCTGAGCCGAATCACTGTGCCTAAGGTCCTAGCTAAGGTCCAGTTTGCTGGCACACATGGACTAGGGGTGTGAGAAGAATTGATCCCCAAAGAAATTAAGGGTAGGCATCATAGAAAGGAGAGATGCTAGGCAACCAACCAAGAAAAGTCCATTGATGTTTTCAATTAATGCTCTAACCTATGTTGTCCCTCAAAAAGGAAGTGTTGTTGTTGTTGTTGTTGTTGTTTCTGAATGCCTTTCTTAAAAGCAGATTATGACAATACAAGCACAAACAGGTCATCAAGATATGTATTTTTAGGTCACTTTATTTGGAAGAGTGTCTCTGCAGTCCACATGTCGTTTTGCCTGGTGTGGGCCGCCAGCTTGGCGTACCACTTCTTACTTCACACCCAACATAACATCTTACACGAAGAGGAAGGCAGGTGAGCAGGGACTTTGGCTCTTCGGAGGGGTGGAGCAGAACTGAGAGATCTTTTATTCTTTTACAATGCCACCTTATCTATACACAGTGATGATTTCATTCCCCCCACCACTATACCATAAGGAGCAGGGAAGGTATTATATCCTCCAGAAGCTAATGAAACTGAGGAAGTGGTATAGCCAGGATTTAAACCCAGCACTGCCTATGAGACTCCATGATCACCGTTACCCATAGTCATTACTTAATCCATTATATAACTGTCAGGCAGTTGACCTTGACCTCCTTGTAAAGAGCAAGGTTACAATACAATAACACTCAGTCTAGTCTGATAAAGTGATAACTGCTAGTATTCTGACTCAGATCTGATGAAGTCAAAATCATGTCTACAATTGAGAGCAGCCACCTCAGAGGACAATATTTTAAATCAGCCTCTGCTAGCCCTGCCCTGCTATGTATTGTGTCATTTCTTCCTTTTGTCATAACCATTTGTTCCTATTTTAGCAACAGTTCCTTCACTTCCTTCCACCCTTGATTCTCAGTCATATTAAGAGCCCCTTTATTTTATTTTCTACACCCTGTTGGCATCTGCCAACATTGACCCTCAGAGACCTGTAAGGCATCCCTGATATGGTGTGGCTTTGCCATGGTAACTTTACTTAGGATCTCTTAATGGAAAACTGAAGAGCAAATCCATATTGGTCTGTCAACCAAATGGGTTAAATTGCTTCCAACTTGAAGCCCAGGAGTTATGCTGAACTCAAGGTGGGGCTTCCAATGTACTATGGCTAATTGATTTTATTTTGTACTCTTTGTAAAAAGTATGTGCTTATAATACACATATCTAGAAGCATATATCCACCCCCCCAATTGTTAGTCTGATTCATTTTAAAACCCATTCCCTGCCCTAAGAAGTATCCCAATCTCCTGCAGTATGTATTCAAATTGTGCATTGGTTTGAGCTCATCCTAACACTGAAAGCTCTAAACCATGTAAAAATAATGATTGATCAAACCTGAGATTGCTTTCTGCATATTACTGTCCTTCCAGTAACCTAGAGTAAGAATCTGAGTGTTTTTTGTTGTTTGTTTAGTACTGGGGACTGAACCCAGGGGCACTTTACCACTGAGCTATATCTCTAGCCTCTTTATTTTTTTATTATGAGACAGGGTCTCATTAAGTTGCTTAGGGCCTTGCTAAGTTGCCGAAGCTGCCTTGAATTTGTGATCCTCTTACTTCAGCTTCCTGAGTTGCTGGGATCCACAGACATGAGCCATTATGCCCAACTCTGAGTGGGTTTTTAGATACTTAATTCTGGAGGGCACACTTTATAAATTTAGGAAACAATCATGGATCTCATATCTGCCCCTTTATTTGAAACATATCTTCATATAGGCTTTAAATTCTGAAATAAAGTAATTTATGAATCATGAGCATATTTGAAAATATCCTATAGATGCTTTATATTTTGAGGGAAAGTTACCTAATTAGAATGCACTATCAAGTGGTCATGGAGACAATGTGCTAATACGTTTCTCACTTGCAGCCACTTCAAAAATTTGAAATATATGCTATTTTTACAGGGAGCTGTCTGGTCTGGTGATTATCACAGCATGGATGAGCCTCTGCCACAGTTCATCAAAGTAAGTTTTCAAGGCCTTAAAGTCAGATACCCCTAGGGTTGATAAAATCAGGTAGTAAGTGAAACTTCACCAATCAATGAAAAAAGGAATCTCCTGAAAGAAATTACTCCTTTTCCTAAGGAAAGCTGATCAATAATCAAATAATAGTTGATTCAAATGTTCATAATAATTCATATGATCATGAAAACCATAGTTTCCTATGTACCCAGTTGCCAGACTAAAGAGCATTCTTTAAGAAGGAAAATGACCTCTGAAGGAAGCTTGAAGATTCAGGAAAGCTTTAAGAGTATCTGCATCACCTTTTAATCATGGCAAAATCTCTAGTGTCTGTGACTTCAACATAGCTGATTTATCTTAAAATAGCAAATTTTTGTTGGGTTTGGAGATAGAATCCAAGGGCACTTTACCACTGAACACATCCCCAAGGCTTCTTTATTTTGTGACAAGGTCTCATTAAATTGCTGAAGGCCTTGCTAAGTTGCTGAGGCTGGCCTCTAACTTCCTCTAATCTTCCTGCCTCAGCTTCCCATACAAAACAACACTTTAATAACAATTCTCAAAATAACAAGTATGGCTACTGAAAACAGGTTTTGTGTTTGTTTTTGTCATTAGGGTATATCTCACTAACAGATACATTCAAATTATCAGGATAGTTCAGGGATAGTGGCTCTGTGTATTGATGCCACCAAAATGAATACATAGATTGATTTATTTCTGGGGATAATTTTACTAAAAATTTATTGATTTTTGTAATTATGTAAAATACCCACATGGTTCCAAAGCTAAATCTACAAAATAAGATATATTCAAAGAATATAGCTTCTCTATCCCCCTGACCCTATATATCCCATGGTTTTATAAGTGTAGCAAATTATGTGCATTTATTTGTATTCCTACTCATCTCAATTGCATCCCCTTTGCTTTCTCACTTTCTACATCTTGGAGCTCATCCTATAGTATTACATAAAGAATATTCCTTTGAGAGATACCTGGATTATTCACCCAGCTTTTTCTTTAGTTGATACTCAGTATTTTGCTGTTGAAAAATAGTGCTGCACTGTGATACAAAGAAAGCATTCAATAATTACTACTTTTAAAAAAAATTAATATCTTTATTCTTGTATCTAACATATTTTTACTGTCATGTCTTTGGAATGAATTCCTGGAAGTGGGACTGCTGGGTTCCAGTACAACTGCAGAGTTAATATTTCAGTGTGCTCTTGAATTCTCCTCCACTGGAGCTGTTCCATTTTGTATCCCCCCACCCCGCCCCAGCAAAGGGTGAAAGTGCCTGATCCTCAGAAGCTTCTCCAAAAGAGAATGCTATCAAATTTTTAAATCATTACTAATTAGATAATTAAGAAAGGTATCATTTTAACTTGTATTTCTCTTATGAAGAACAAAGGTGGGAACATTTTCATATGGTTAATATGTTAAATAAAGATGTTATATACTTCTATCACAATATTCATAGCACCTATGTGTATTTTTAAAACAACTTTGAATTTTCTATGAAATGTTAGTTTATCTCTGGAAGATACAGGATTAACCTGAGTCTTCCTCAAGTTATTAGTCTTCTCTATTTTCAGAAGCTTTTTATATATTATAGCTAGTGAACTTTTTCCCTAAATATATATATATATATATATATAGTATTTGCTATTGCACTTTATTTTGTTTCTGAAAAGTAGCATAAAAAGCTTGTTGTTGTTGTTTTAGTAAAACCAAATTTATCCATTGTTTTCCTTATTAATTCTGCATTTGGAGCCATAGTTAGGAAAACATACCTCCCTCTCAAGTTGTAAAGCAACTTCCGTACATCTTCTTCTAATTCAGATGTGGTTTCACTTTTGTATTTAAGTCTTTAGAATTTATCCTGGTGTAATGAGATAAAGAATGGGACCAACATTTTCTTTTTGCATATAGTTTTCTGTGTATCTCAGCACCATTTATTAAAAATTGGCTTTAAGATGCCAAAGCACTTTTTAATGACAAAAGTTTCCCCTCATCAAGGCAAACAGAAAAGGAGAAAACAATTAAATGAAAACTTGACCTAAAAAAAAAAGAGAGAGAATTAACAAGGCCAAATTTATGGATTCTCTAAAATGATTTATAACATTGATCTGCCTGGCAAGACAAAAATGAAAATAAAAAATCAAGAGGAGGCACAAATAACAAATACCAGGGATGAAAGAAAGAACAGTATGACATATCTAACAGATATTTTAAAATTTATAAGAGGATATAATGAACTACTTTATGCCAGTAAATTTGAAAATAAAGATTAAGAAAACAAATTCCTTAAAAGTACAATTGACCAAAACGTTTACAGAAGAAATACAAATCCCATAACTATGAAATAAATTGAATACAGAATTTATATTTTTTTCCTAAAAAAAACCTCCAAACCTGGATGGCATAGCTGGAAAAATCTAACATTCTTGGAGAAATCATACCCACAATCAACAAAGACTTCCAGAAAAAGTAAAAGAAGAAATGCTTTCCATCTCATTTTATGAGAGAAACTAGTAATCTTGAAACCACATCTTGCCAAGAACATTATAAGACAAAGAGAATTATACAGTACTCTGACCCATGACCACAGATGGAAAAATCTTGAAAAAAAATTAACCAAATCCTACAATATAGAACCCAACCAACAAGTTGGCTTTATTCTAGTAATTATAATTAACACTACAAAACCTACCAATGTTTTCTACATTGATAGAGTAAGAAAGTGAAGTATCTTGAACTATATAGAAAGAGCATTTGATAAAATTCAATATCCAATCATGATAAAAGCTCTTACAATATAGGTTTAGAAGGGAAGTTAACCTGATAAACAGTATCTACACCAATGTATGATAGTTGATGAACAGTAAACTTTTCCTGTGAAATCAGGAATGAGATAAATTAGATATTTCTGCGATTTCTCAACACTGTTTTAGCTATTGTAGCCCATACATTAAGGCAAGAAAAGGAAATAAAAGGCTCAAGGATTGAAAACAAACTTTTATTTGTTGGTGATATTACTGCATATAAAGAAAAAAGGATCTAAGAGATTATTAAAATTAATAAGTGAGTTTAGCATGATGCCAGGTTTCTAAGTAAATATACAAAAACAAACTACATTTCCATCAGCAATGTAGCAGAAGGTGGTAAAAATGAAAAGTTACTATTTATAAGAACATCAAAGTAATAAAGCTCCTAGTAATAAATTTAGGAGAGATACAAAGACATTGCATGCAAAATTATAAAGAAAACCTGAAGAACTAGAGGGATAAACTACTGGCAAAAGGATACATAAACAAACTAATGCAACAGAGTAGAATCTAGAAACAGATCCATATGTATGTAGACCATTGACTTATGGCAAAAGTAGTACTACAGCATAGCCAAGAAAGGCAGACTTCAATAAATAATGCCTGGACCATGAATGAAATTCCAATATGGGAAAAAAAAGAAACAACTTTTACCTCACAACTTTCCTAAAAATCAATCCCAGGTAGGTTATAAAGAGGCAAAACAATAAAGCTTTTAGAGAAGATAAAAATATGTTCAAGACCTTTCTAGAGAAGATAATATCTTCAAGACCTTGAGGATCTTAAGCAGAACATAAAAATCATTAGGAAAAGATCAATTTAACATTATCTAATTAATTAATGTTCTTCAAAAGAAACCATTGAGTGGAAGAACAAGGTATTTTGAACATATATAAATAAGGATTTGGTTTAACTATAAAGAATTTCTACAAATCATTGAGTGCATTATATTTTAAAATTTGAGAAGAGACCAATTAAAATGTAACTTTAACCAATTCAATCCTTACACTTGTTTCCTAAAGAATGTATAACTTTGATTGAAATTTTTAATAAAAATTTTATGTGTCTTTATAGGAATCCAGTTGGTGGAAGAATTCAGTTGGTTGTTGCTACTGCAATTGCTATTTTCCCACTTATCTCCTGGGTCTATGTATATATAAACAAGGAAATGCGGTCTTCCTGGCCAACGCACTGCAAGACAGTATTTTAAATGAATCCAAGAATTGTATTTTAAATGAGAAATTTTAAATGAGAATTTTCAACTTTATTTTATAAACATTGGGGGAACAGGACAATTTCCCAGTTTATTTCAGGTAATTTGTGCTAATACTGAAGATGATGTTTAAAAAGTCTTTAAGAATTTTCTAAGATTGCTTACAGTACAAGGTAAGATTGGATGAAATAGTAAGAATGGGGATTCTCCGGATGCCTTTTGTAAAGGGTGTTCTTCCATAATATAATGAAAAGGCACTAGAACAAAAGTTGTGAACCATGAGTTCTTCCAGGCACCATGATGCATGCTTGTGGTCCCCACTACTCAGGAAGCTGAGGCAGGAGGATTACTTGAGGCCAGGAGTTTGAGGCCAGCCTAGGCAACACAGCAAGATTCCATCCTTCCAAAATTAATAAAGTAAATTCAGTATCTAAGTGACTTGGGCAAATATATATAGGACATTTCCTTATCTATAAAATAGAATTAATATGTGATGGGTCCCTACTTATACAGTTGCTATCATCAAACTATGAAAATATTAACTATTTATGGATTACAAAGGGCTATCCATGAGTAAAATAGAGGGGAGCAGAGTTTGGGTATTACATTGAAGTAGAGGTTGTTCAAGAGAGGCCTATAGCCCTGAAGTAATCACAGGATAGTAAACTGGTACTGTGGTACGAAATAAATGAGGACTCAAGAAGCCAATGAACAGGCATAACTTGAAAAGAAAATGAATGAGAATTAAAAAGGAATTTGAGACCAATCAAGAAAAAAAGCAGGATATTAATTATTCATAATTACTCATTATTCTAAATGAAAAATTTATACTACTTTTTAAAAGGAATATTCAAAGTAACCCCAAGGAGAGGATATTAGAGCTACACTCTCCCAACATGGCAGCCACTAGTCACATGTTGTTACTGAGCATTTCAGATGCAGCTAGGGTAACCAAGAAAGTAAATTTCGAATTTTTTTCTACTTACTTTTAATTTAAAAATTGACATCCAATTATTGGAAGAGGCTTTAGAATAACTTGGGCATGGGAATCTTTTTCAACTATCAATTTGGTCTGTATTTGATATCTAAATGCAGATCAAGCATTCCCAACAAAACTTTAATATCCAAATGTAAAGTACACAGTAGATTTTAAAGACATTGTACAAAGTGAGAGGATGTAAAATATTTTTATATTAATGTTAAAAAGATAATTTTTATGATAATCGGGTTAAATAAAATATTAATTTTACTTTTTTAAATGTGTCTATACAGTGTGTTGAATTTTGTGGTTCACCTTGCATTTCATTTGGATAGTGCTATGAATATCTGGATGGCAACTTTTTAGCTTATGCTAGCATCAAATTTGGATTTCATCTGATTAGTCAGATACTCAGTTTCATGAGATTTAGGAAATACTTTACTCAAAAAGAATTAGTGGGAAGAATTAGTACCTACTTGTCGGGAAAACAAAAATGAATCTGATAGTTTTTCTTTTTATAGTCTTAAATACAACAGTAAGTATTCTATAAATATCTGTTAAATGAGGTAGGCAATTTTTTGCAGGGGGAGGGGTCGAGATGTTTTTGACACAGTGGCCACTAAACAGTCAGAAATTCTTCATCAACGAAAAATTAATCAAGTTGGTATTAAAGCAGCTAAAATGTAAAAGTGTAATTTATTTTAAAGGTCAATAAAATGCATATAATACATTGGGTTTTTTTCCAGTGTCTATTTAGCTTACATGTTATTTATGACTTTTATACCTCCTTTCAAATAAGCTATTAAAGCCACACACAAAGGAATGGACTCTTCGTAAACTCTCTGTATGTCCTGCTACTCCAAGTTATGCTTGATTCCTGTGCTTAAATGTTAGCAATATCCAAGATATAGTTTCATAGCATTTGCATTTCCCTTATTAGACTATGAATTCTGCAAATATTCATAGTAATGTTTGCATCTCAAATTAAGTATATAAAAGACAATAATTTAGCCAGATGAACACCAGTAATCCTAACTATTCCAGAGGCCGGGCAGGAATAATGCAAGTTCAAGGCCAGCCCTGGCAATTTAGTGAGAACCTGTCTCAAAATGAAAAGGAGAAAGGGCTGGGGATATAGCTCAGAAGTACAGCATTTATCTACTCTGCAGGAGGTCCTGGGTTCAATCCCCAGTACTGGAAAAAAAAAAAAAAAAAAAGAAAAAGAAAAGCAAGCCCCAACACTAACTTTTGGTGGAGTGCTCTCTTTTGAAAAAAAAGAGCCTGTATTAATGAACTCATTTTTAAGCTCTATTTTCCTACTGAATTTAGGAATTATTTTTAATTCAGCATTACGAGAATAGAATCATGGCATTTACAGGTAAATAGATGGAGTTGGAGAATATAATGCTAAGTGAAATTAGCCAATCCCCAAAAAAACAAATGCCAAGTAATTTCTGATTTAAGGATGCTGATCCATAATATGCTGCAGGCAGGGCAGGGATGGGGGGGATATTAAATGAATTCTAGATAGAGTGAAGGGGAAAAAGGGGAGGGAGAGGACATAGGGGTAGGAAAGATGAGGAATGTGTTGGTCATCATTACCCTAAGTACATGTCAGAAGACAAGAAGAATGTGACTCTACTTTGTGTACAACCAGAGATATGAAAAATTGTGCTCTAAATGTGTAATATAAATTGTAATGCATTCTGCTGTCATATAACAAATTAAAATTTTAAAAATCTGTCTTCCCAAACCTGTCTTCTTCCCATTGTCCCTCTTATATACCAGATTCTTTTTTTACTGACAAATAGATGTAATCATGTTTTTCTCAGCTCAGAAACCCAATAACCCTTCACTGAGTCCAACAAGAGGTAAACTTTTATTCTTGGCTCATCATTCAAGGGTCTTCACAATATAGCCTGGTCTGTCCTCCTTTATTTCTTACCAAACCCCTGAGCACCTATGGGTGAGTCCTCATAGCATTGCTTGCCTCTTCTAAACTCAATCTTTTAATGCCTCTGCTTATATTTTTTCCAACTTTTTCAAACCATTTTTCTTCCTTTTTTCATGATATTTCTAATCCCTTCAAACAAAGTTAGTATTTTTCCTCCACATTCCTAGTCTTTATATGACAACCAGTTTCACATATTCGTATTTATGGATGCCTTTCACTCCCAATAAAGGTCAGTGAATACAAGAGCACATTATAGTCACCTGTGTGGCAAGCTGAATAACAGGCCTCAACAAACATCTAGGTCCAAATTCCTAGAACCTGTTAGCTTGTATTGCAAAGTAATATGTGAAGATACTGGGAGGGGGAGATTACCTGGATTATCCAGATCCAGATGGGCCTTAAAGTATAATCATAAATGTTCTTATGGCAGAGAGATGTGATTACACAAAAGAAGGTGATGTGACAACCAGAAACTGGCTTTGAAGGTAGAGGAAGGGGCCATGAGTCAAGGAATTCAAAGGTGCTGCTTGACTGGAAAAAAAATTCTGCCCAGAGCCTCCTGAGGGGATGTAGCTAGCCAATACCTTGACTTCAGCCTGGTGAAAATTATTTTAGACTTCTGACCTCCAGAACTTCAGAGAACAAATGCATGTGGTAAGCCACCAAGTGTGTAGGAATTTGTAATAGAAGCTGTAGAAAGCAAATACACTTCTACAGTACTACAGTACCTAGGTACTCAATAAGCACACAGTAACAGTTGACTAGTATTTCTTTTGTTTTTGGTCCTCAAACCTTTTCTATACTTGGAACAGTTTTCATTTTCTATCTAGTACGGGTTTCTGCAAGTAAGCCTTGTCACAACTGATTCAAACATTGCCCGTTTGTTCAGAAAGTCCTAAGTAAGGGTGAATCGACTGACCAGCCCGAGTGTGGCCTCACTGAGTACTAGTGGGTGGGACACAGTAGCACTGGCACTTGGCCTTTCTTTGGTTAGAATCATAAAAGGGTCCCAGGACTTCTCTGTATACCCCTCTTGGGGATGGAGATGCCATACCAACTGTAAAATAACAACCAAAGGGGCTTTGTTCACAAAACAGGATTACAAGCCTATAAAGTATAGGTATTCTGAGCTAAAACTGTCCAGAGTTCACTCACACTGCAAGATGAAAGGAAAAGTTATCCTGAGCTTTATTTATTTTTATTATAAATTTTAAGTTCTGTAGTTAACACATGAATATACTCACCTTGTAAAATGAATTTAAAAATATGGTAAGGTCAAATAAAGTCCCTTATCAGTACCAGATGTCCCCACCATCAGCCCCTCCCTGGTTTATTCTGTTTCTGACTTTCGGCACTAGAAATATTATCCAAAAATACACTTCTGAATATTTTATCAACTAACACACTGAAGCCAAGTATACATTTTGTTATGTAAGCAGAATACAGAACAATGGGATTGAGAATTTTTATTTTGTTTTCCTTTTTGTATAGTAGGGACAAATACAAGCAAAGTCACTCTCTTCCTTCAAAGGCAAATAAAACAAGTCAGACTAAAAGTTGAGGGCTTTTTCCTTCTTATAATTCATAATTCGGTCTGGAACTCTGCCTCTCCCTTTCAACACCATTTTGTCAGGATAGATGTGAACTGTGCCAAAGGCTTGGCTGACTGGAGCTGTTTCAATAACTCCTTCTAGGTTGACATGGTGCACACCAAAATGATCCTCACAGTAGCCACCATCATGAGTATGACCAGCAAAGAAACACACCACACACTTGTGAGACCAGATGACTGCCAGAGCATCTCTGTAGTTCCAGGCCAGGCACACATTGTCGGAGGCCTCTGGGTAAATGGGAAGATGGCCTGTTAGTTAAAAAAAAAAAAAAAAAAAAAAAGTTGTGAGCCAATTAAGAAATGTTTTACATTAAAAAAATAATAGTACTTACAAAAAAACAAAGTGTATTGCTACCTCATCCAAATGGACTGAGACCACAGAAGGTCCACATATGTGAAGTAGTAGGCTATCAACACCCGGATCTCTAGAGCATAGAAAGGAGGGTGAAAGTTTGCAAATGAGGTGGGAAAGGCTACTGAACAGGCAAAATCTTGAGATCGCTGAGGCCTATACACAGTATCAAGTTGCACAAACACCAAGGAAGATCAAGGGCACTTATGCCAAGAAAGTCTGCAAAAGCAGCCAGAAATCAGGCAGATGCTGTGCAGGAATTCAATTTTATTGAATTTCTTAAACACGAATGTTATATATACAGAAAGATAGAGTACTAATAAAAGAACAGTTTAGGGACTGACTATGGATTATGTGTCATTTAAATAAACAATGCCACAGAACTGAATCACAAGACTTTGAACACCCCCATGAGTCAGGTGGCCATATCTAATTCACAGATAAAAAAACTGATTAAAGCAGGGAGGATTATATCGGGCCCCACAGGAGATATGTGGAAGTAGAGCCAGGAGAATTTGAATCCCTAATGTCAACACATCTGTAAGTCTAGACCACACAATCACGCCACAGTTTCACTTTGAAGTTCAGATATCATGGCTCATTGATCTCTGCTTCTTCCCAGTAAATCGTTTCTTTGTCCTGCTACTGTTCATTTTTATTCTGAAATTTAAACATGCTTTTGCTTATTATGTACTTATAATACAAGTAAAAGGGGGTGAGGGTAACAGAACCCTAAAGCAGTTAAGAACACATGGGTGCGAGCACATGCCCATCCACACACACAGTAACTGTGTTAAGGTCTAAGAGGCCAAAGAGGCTGTGTAGAAGCCACACTGACTTACCTATCAAATTACACAATTAGTTGCCCCCTTCTCCTAGAAGTACTCAGTTCCCCAGTATCCTGTCAGGAGTATCCAAATGCTTAGTCCTTGAAGTTCTTTATCTATACCTAATGCATTGGTGATCTTTCATTGATTTATATAGCTTTAAAAATCATCTATAATCTTTCAACTCCCACATTTATATGATAGATAGCTTAAGCCTCTGTGCTGAATTTCAGACTCTGAGGTCTAAATTACCCACTCAGTATGTTCACTAATGTATGACATGCATATTATATCTAATAGACATCTCAAACAGTGGTTCCAAACAGGCCCCTGGCCCTCTCCACCCAAACCTCCTTGTCCTGCAGTGTCTCCCATCTCAGCTAATGGCAATTCTGTCCTTCCAAGTGAATGGCCAAAACTCAAAATAACTTCTGAGTAGCCACAATAAATTTAAAAGCACATGAAAACAAAAGGAAATTTCTACTAAACTTAACTAAAGAGAGCCTAAGGTGCTCAGTTATTAAATGTTTACTTAACCAGTTTCTAAATTTAGAGCAATGGTGAAGAAATTTAAGAGACTACAGATGTAGGTGCACTGCCATCAATAAAAAGAAATGGAAAGAATATGAGACAGAGGGGAAAGGGGACTGGGATATTAAAAAAGTCTCAATTCTTTCAGCAGCTATGTGACTTTAGCTATGCAATTTCATCTCTTGGGGCTTCGGTATATCTTTAAAATTAAAGGGTTTGGCAACAAGATCTGTAGGTCTCTTCCAGCTCCCATACTCTTAGCCTAGCAGTGGAAGAACAAAAGAGTAGATGCAAATTAAGTACTGCAGTTTCTGAGACTAATTATTACTGAGCCAAATGGTGGTGTGTCACAGCCATAACCTGTGAGGGAACTTCATCTTTTCCAAATTTTGATGCTTGACAACCAAATGGCAGCACAAACATCCCCGTACCATCTACATGTTTTTAACTACATCTAAAAGATCAACATGTTAAAAATAGAATTGTAATTTCTATTTTATAGAAATTAGGAGCCAGGGCTCCCAAGGCTAAAATATGAAATGGGTCCTGAAATGAATTTCTCATTTAAAAATTAATACGTGAACTGATCCCACTTGGGGAAATTCTGCTTTGAAACCTAAAATGGCAACTCACATACTCTAATATATGGCAATATATTTTTGTTATTTTACAATTCTTTCCTGACTCATTTGCAAATATTAATCTCAGGTTCAGGCTTTATTTTAATTTAAAACATTGACTAAGCACCCATCTTATAGGAAGAGGACATCAGAACACAAATATCATTAGTATACTTTAAACCCTAGCTTTTCAATCTCTAAAATGCTACTGCAACCAGATAAACAATTTAAATACTTACTCACAATCACCACCTTTTCTTGGTTTGTGTCAGAGAACGCAAGAACTTCGTTCAACCAGTTCAGCTGTTCTTGGCTGAATCCTCCATTAAACTGGACAAACTGGGGCTCAGAAAGTCCTAA